AATCTTGAAGCTAATAAAGGCATCTTAGTGCTAAACTAAGAATAGAAGTGCTAGCATTTTATTTCGCTTTCTCATTTTCTGTCTTATGGCTTCTTATCTTTTATATCAACACTTTATAGCAGGTTTATTTTAGCATTTATTTTGTTCTATATTTGCATCCATTAAACCGGATGTTTTTTTCTAATTACTTTTGTTGCTTTGTTATCTATCTAGTCGTTAATATCTTGATCCTTTCGCCTCTATTTTTTGTTTTACACTTCTTAATAAATATGCATTTATTATTGTTAAACTCCGACTACCACCTTTCCAATTACTGGCTTATTTCCTTACGGAAAACTTGTGGCAGCAAAATATCGGTCATACATAGTACAATTTAGCCTACCTTTATCCTCATTACGGTCTATCAAAGATATTACCGTCAGTGTTTACCTTCTTTGAAAATAGATGTGTAGCTTCAGTTTAGTTTTAAGACATATCTAGAGTTGTCAAAACTTGTTATGCCACATCTTTCATCTTATGGCTATTGTTTTTCTACATTTTTTGCATCATATTGTATTGTTTATTTTCCTTCAGATTAGAAAAGTAGCTCATGATTTTCCTTTATTCCATTATTTAGTTTAATGAAGAATCAAGCTCAACGACCAAAGTATCGAGCTTTAATGACGACGCTTTTCTACGTACAGCATAATGTCGAGCCACATAATATAGAGGATTGGTATCGAAGCATTTCTGGTGGAGGGCTTTTCAATTCACTCTTCTCGGCTGCGTCTTCACATGTTAATAGTCAGTCCCAAACACAAGTGAACGTTCCACTTAGTATCGGGCCAACTTTGCAAACTACCAATAGCTCTCTAGATTCAACAGTCATTTTTAGTCCAGATCTTAATGTTTCTGCGTTTCTAGATCAGTCAACCTGTGTACCCAGCCCCAATCGAATGGACTATCTAACTATCGTCGAAGAGAATCAAAATGAAAAACAAGATCTAAATGGACCGGTTGATATAGCTCCTGCTACGTTGGCAAGCAGACAAATCTCTAAACCTAATTTCGTTACTGATTCCGGCAGGACGGCTGTCACAAAGCAGCATACTGGTTGCAAGCATTCTGATATAAAGAACAAAGTACTCAACAAAGGAAGCATCGGAATTAGGGATATTTCACATCAAAACGAAGCTGGTGATTGCACTTCACGTTCACAAGCTTCGTCTGGGTATGGGTCTGCTGGCTCAGACAGTTCTCCTGGCTCCTTAAGCAGTCAAAATCGGTCGCCTAGTGTATTCCGATTGGTATCTGGTTCCTCACGACCTCCTCTTTCACAATTCCGACATAAAATCCAAACTGCATCTCTCTCCTCTCAGTCTTCGGCTGGTGGTGACAGCAGTATTGTCAGCTGCGACTCTTTTTATGGAGCCGACAGACGAAGCACTCTCGAATCAACAGAGTCAGTCAGTTCTGCTTACTCGCCTTCAGCCATACAAACTGACAGTGATAATATCAACTTACCGGAACCGATTACTCTTACTTCTGGCAACCGGAGCCTCACGTCGATAAGTGAACCCAGTTCCTTGCCAATCGCTTCTCCTGCATCCGTTTCCCAGCTAGCTTCTAGCGAGGCAGTGCATCTGCAGCAGAAGCCGGATTTCCATTTCATCCCGCCACCTCGAGCTTTCCGTAGGCCCTGCAAACAGGATTTGATGCAAAGTCACCCAGTTGTTAATCAGACCACAGCAATCACTGGTAATCCGAATCATGATGACTGCCTAAATTGTGTTACAGAGAACCAACAGTTGCGACTGAAGTCAACTTTTGCCTTCAAACAAGATATATCGAGCCGTTCTAATATCCAAATAAATGGCTGTCTAGAACCGTACCTGAAACAACCATCGCACTCGGCAATCCCAGCCACATTCGACTCTGGGGCCCAGCTTCCACCAAATCCTCACTTCCGTTCTACCTCCACCGGTCGCTTGCTGACTCGAATGCCCTTGAAAAATTATTTGCCCCAGCAAACTTTGTCGACTATGCCACAGCAGATATCTACGCCATCGTCTCTAATGCCACTCGAGACAGCCCCCAAAGTGCGTTTTAAGCCCTTTTTTTCTCAGCCCAACGAGCCAATGGATAATGGATCATCTCTCAATTCCATTTCACCTACACAGCGGCCAGTAAACTCAGTTAAGTTAGGCCAACTATCTCCTGCTGGTAGTTTGGATCGCCAGGAGTACCATCATCACTATTACTACTACTATCACCACTCAGATCAGCCTGGTGGAATGCCGCTTTCGTCGCTATCTGGCTCAAAGACCCCACGTTCCACTCATCTTAATCTACCCCATTCAGCCACTGATCAATCTACTTCACCTGTTTCACGCACTCCTCCATCGCTACCCTACCAAAGTCCACTACAGACTCGTTCCCATCTAGCATCAAGTTCAAAAACAATTCCCGGTCCGCCTAGTGTTGGGGCTTATAGACATGCCGTTAGTCTAACGTGTCTTCCTACTCCCATATCCAGTATCGTGGCTCGACCAATTGCTAGTGGGCAAGCTCCTCGTTCACAACAGATTATAAATGGTCGCGAATCTGGAGCCGGACAGTGTTTTGGCCCTCAACTAAAGGACAAGCGCGGAGGCCAGTTTCCGACTCACTTTACACCTCACAATGGCAGTGATGGGCGACACCAGCCTCGTCTGCTTATGCCGAGAATAGGTCCTTCATTTCAAAATCCTCCAACGACTGTTGTTTCGGAAACGGTAGCCTCAAACTCGGTGCCTGGGGGGCATCTAGGGTCAATTTACTCCCCAAACCAAACCACTAGTCGCCTC